CCGAGATCGCGCCACTGCACTCCAGCCTGGGCGACAGAGCGAGACTCCGTCTCAAAAAAAAAAATTAGCCGGGCGTGGTGGCGGGCGCCTGTAGTATCAGCTATTCGAGAGGCTGAGGCAGGAGTATCGCTTGAACCCGGGAGGCGGAGGTTGCAGTCAGTGAGCGGAGATCGCGCCACTGCATTCCAGCCTGGGCGACGAGAGCGAGACCCCGTCTCAAAAAAAAAAAAAAAAAAGTTACATGAATTGATTTATATAGAACTTCTAATTCCCTCTCTCCAGGAACGCGGGGTGTCTTTATCACCAGTTCAGCCCAGCATCCGCCACATTTAGTCTCTTCTCTCCCAAGTCCTCACACTACAGTTCAGTCTTCCCTCAGTTCTCTCCGCCTCTGCACTCAGTCCTCATTCTAGGCAGCTCTCAACGCACCCCAGAATATTTCCTTCCTACAACTTTCAGCTCCTTCACACCACGCACGACTGCTATAACTACCCTGAGGGCACCTGCCCTTTCCCTGATCCTGACCTCAGACCGCCAGCGAGCTCAGCTCTTTTACCTTCACTTTACCTCGGGCCTCGCCGGAACCCGCAGCCTTCACGCAACTCCGCTGCCTCACAAACCCCAGGCCTCCTCGAGCAATCCTCCCCTTCCCACCTCCTCAGTGCAGGATCCTTCTCACGTCTCTCACACGCAGGCTCAGGGACTCACCACCACAAGCCCCTGAACAAACTGCACACCGGCAGCAGCAAAACACAACCGCGCTCGCGCCAAATTCGAATGGCCACAGTGTTCCCACCTCCCGCCAAAGCCCGGCCTCGCTTTTGATTGGCTGTAGTCACAGGCACCGTTCGCCTTGTGCACCGCCTCTTTTTTTGCTTCCAATCCAGTAGAAGAGTTACAGCCAATGAGAGAGCCCCAAGTCTTAGCGTCGCTGTGAGGCCATGACCACTGAACGGGTGGGAGGGACTCTACATCCGGGGCCTCGGTGGAAAGACGCGCGATCGCTGCAGGGCGACTCTGGGCAAGACGGGCCGGCCCCGCCGCAAAGCACGGTGGGAGGCGTAGTGTTTGCTGCCGCGCGACTCTACTTCCGCGCTCTTCCTTCGACTGGATGTGTCAAGATGTGGTTCCCCTTCTCAGTGCCGAACGCACCCATTTGCATCATCCTGATGGGCTAGATTTTCAGAACTGCTACATGATACCTACCGTTTTGGCTTCTGTGCACCAGGTATGATGCTAGGCACTTTACTTAACTCTCTAATGCTCAACCTCGCAAGGTACAAAGCAAACCTGTATACAAGGTTAGAGGTCACAGCATCTTGGTGACAGCGAAAAGCCTAGGATCCAGATCTACTGATGGCTGAACTAGTGATTTTTTTGGTAAAGTTCTACACACCTGTATAAAGAAAAACTATGCTTCATCATAGTATCTCTTGATTCGTGCTTCAAAGATGAGAAACAGCCAAATCTTTGCTTTTATTTCGTTCAACGTAAGAATATTATGTTCTGTGCACCTTCTTACCATTAATCCACACATCGTGGGGAGAGAATTATGACCCCTTAATTTTAAAATCCTTTATGGCGAAACACTAGGGTTTCAGGGCCAGGAAAGACAGCTATATAGAAGAGGCAAGCTGAGTTTTTAATGAAAAATATAAATTAGCGCAGTAATTTGGAGGCCAGCTTCCAAAGCCAATAACTCATCTAAGCCTCAGGCTCCTTTAGAGGCCAGAACCCAATTCTAGGTGATGGTAAACATTTATCTTTTACCCCTCAGTAACAAATAAAATAGAGCCATAAAGCCTAGAAAGAGGAAAGCAACAATATTACGATCATCAGTTAATTGGTACCTAGTTCATGAAGAGAGCCAATATTGAGTGCTTAAGTTATGCCAGGGACTGTGCTCAGTATTTTACCTACATCAGCTTATTAATCTTCACAAGCACCCCCACGAAGCTGGTGTTATTTCATTTTACAAATGAGGGAACTACAGTAGAGGGGAGTTGAGAAAACTTGCCCAAGGTCACACAACTAGTAAGTGGGAAAGCTAGAATTTTAACTCTGAACTCGGACAGAACATCAAACTCTTGACCACGTTATCATAGGGGGATGATTAGACAGATTCAGATTCTAAACAGGAAGAGATGGTGGAGTACATTTTGTGAAGGCTTTTTAGCAGCTGAAAACTCCAAAAGTGAAGAGAATGGGCTGTCAGGAATGGAGAAAGTTACCACACAATGGAAGCTTTTTTTCTTCTTCTGAGACAGAATCTCATTCTGTCACTCATGCTGGAGTGCTCCACCTCCTGGGTTCAAGCCATTCTCCTGCCTCACCCTCCTGAGTAGCCAGGACTATAGGCACGCGCCACCACGCCTGGCTAATTTTTGTATTTTTAGTAGAGGGGGTTTCACTATGGTAGCCAGGTTGATCTCAAACTCCTGACCTCGTGATCCGCCCACCTCAGCCTCCTACAGTGCTGGGATTACAGGCGTGAGCCACCGCTCCTGGCCACAATGGAAGCTTTTAAAAGGACTAGATGGTATTTCTGATGTCTTAGTAGGACAACAGAACTCAGGAAGCAACCTTCACTGTTCATATTTTTATAACATGGGCATCTAAGAATTGCCCTTAATAACCTGAAATGGTAACGTGTGCCCAGCCAGCTTTAAGGGGTGGTTATGGTAAACAACCTACCTCGGTTACAAGGAGAAAGCAGAGGCAGCTATGAGTACTTAGCATGCATATTGGAGCCTATGAAAACACCAGGAAACGGCTGGGTGCAGTGGCTCACGCCTGTAATCCCCACACTTTGGGAGGCCGAGGCAGGTGGATCATGAGGTCAGGAGATTAAGACCATCCTGGCTAACACAGTGAAACCCGTCTCTACTAAAATACAAAAATTTGCCGGGCGTGGTGGTGGCGGGCGCCTGTAGTTCCAGCTACCTGGGAGGCTGCGGCAGGAGAATGGTGTGAACTCGGAAGGTGGAGCTTGCAGTGAGCGCAGATCAGGCCACGCCACTGCACTCCAGCCTGGGGGAGAGAGCAAGACTCTGCCTCAAGGAAAAAAAAAAAAAAGGAAAAGAAAGAAAACACCAGGAAACATAGCAGTGGTCCAAGAAAAGCCTACAGGTGTAAATGACCACCGTGGAAGCAGGCAAATAATCACAGAATGTCAGGACTGAAAAGTTATCTACTTGAAGCTTTTCCTTTGCACTAATAATGATCCTCCAGCAACGTGATGGGTACACATCATATTGTTTCTTGCTTCTTGCTTCTTGTTTCTTGCCTTTGTTTTTGCTGTTTCCTGTGTCTGGAATGTCACTCACCTTCCATCTTCCCTGGCTAACTCTCATAAAGCCTTTTAATACCCTGCATAGGCTTCTCCTGGTAGTTATCCTGAAGTCTACTATGAGTTCCTTGGAGTCAAAGACCATGTCTTAGCCTTGCATAGTGGCATGCATCTGTAATTCCAGCTACTCAGGAGGCTGAGGTGGGAGGATCCCTTGAGCCTAGTTTGACGACAGCCTGAGCAACATAGCGAGACCCCATCTCCAAACTGGAAAAAACAAAAAAAAAAATACTTTTTTTTTTGACATGGAGTCTCACTCTGTCACCCAGGCTGCAGTGCAGTGGCGCAATCTCAGCTCACTGCAACCTCTGCCCCCCCGCCCCCGGGGTTCAAGCAACCCTCCTGCCTCAGCCTCCTGAGTAGCTGGGATTACAGGCGCCCATATTTTTAGTAGAGACAGGGTTTCACCATATTGGTCAGGCTGGTCTCGAACTCCTGACCTCAGGTGATCCACCTGCCTCAGCCTCCCAAAGTGCTAGAATTACAGGTATGAGCCACCATGCCCGGCAAAAAAAGACTTTTCATCTTCATAGACGCCTGGTACACAGTAAAGTGTACAATAAGTGCTTGCTGAAGGAATGGAAAGGACATTCTTGCCAAGTGGACATCTACCCTTTGCATAAACACTTGTGACTGGAGAGCATATACTCCTTTAAGTCTCACACCCTTACGCCTAGGAGTGGAGAATGAATTCAATTATGTGTGAAAATGATCCAGACTGGGCTCCAGTGATGTCAGAGGCAAAGCTTATCCCCAGTTATCCTCTGGGGCAGTCAGAATCCTGAGGTTAACATATTTCTAGTTCTAGTTCATTTTCCACAGTTCCTTTACCTCTCTTTGCAGAGTACTAGGAAGTTGGAGACAGGCAGCTTCCTTCCAGTGGGTCACTCAGTTCATGGTTAGATTGGGTTGGGAAATACTTAAGAGGCACATTCATGGCAAGCAGCTCTGCCTCAGTAATGGAGGGAGGAAACTAGTGTCCTTATCACCTGCTAACTCATACACAGTATCAGGGATAAGGAATCAAATCACACCGGAAGAACCTGTCTGGTATCCTTTTGTGTGTGTGTGTGTAGACATACACACACGTACTAGCAATACTATCACAATAAGACAGAATGAATTATAGGGTTAGGAAGTCGAAGGTCATTTAGGCAAACTCCATTTGCAGGCTATTTCAAATCGGAGGAACAATTCAATCAATAAACAAGTAGTTTATTAACCATATTAATAACAATGATGGGTCAAATAATCAGGGATTCAGCCCATCTGGGAAGTACAGATGAAAATGAAAGGAATCCTTTTTTTCTCTCCTCCCTCCCTCATCCTCATAGGTTTTTATATCTAAATTATGTGAGAGTGATTCATACACACACCCATTATGAATCAGGAAGAGAAATAACTTCAAGACCTTTGCTAGTGATCAAAGTGCAAGTTAAGCTCATTAAGCCTTAGTGGTTATGATGTCAGCTGACCACAGTAAGGAGAGAGTGTCTGGTTGAATTTTTACACCTAAAGGCAAAGTTCAAGAAAACCAGCTAAGATTCAGCTTAAAAAGCAGTGAGGAAAAACAGCCAACACCCATATAAAAACAGATACACACATTCTGTATGCTTTGTCCCCACCCTTCTTTCCTTTAGCCTCAATTTGAGAATCTGCTGTGTAACACAGGTAGAAAGAATTGTAAGAGATTCAAGGAAAAGGTCACAAGGCCAGGAAGCCTCTTAGGTTCCCGAAATCATGCGCAAAGGGGAGTTAGGTAGAAATATAAAACAAGGACTGGTTGGGTGTGGTGTCTCATGCCTGTAATCCCAGCACTTTGAGAAGCCGAAATGGGACGATCACTTGAGCCCAGGAATTTGAGACCAGATTGAGCAACATAGGGAGACCTCATCTTTACAAAAAAATTTTCAAAATTAGCCAGGCACAGTTACACACGTGTGGTCCTAGCTACACAGGAGGCTTAGGTGGGAGGATCACTTGAGCTTGGGAGTTGGAGGCTGCAGTGAGCTATGATCACACCACTGCACTCCAGAGCAAGATCCTGTCTCAAAAAAATAATAATAAAAAATAATAAAATAAGGTCTATCAGAATCTCCCAGGAAGGGTAACTAGAACTCTAGAACTATAATTTTTTTTTTTCTTTTTTTTTGAGTGCGGTGGCATGATTTTAGCTCAGTCCAACCTCCGCCTCCTGGGTACAAGCGATTCTCCTGCCTCGGCTTCTCGAGTAGCTGGGACTACAGGCGTGCGCTACAACACCGGCTAATTTCTGTATTTGCAGTAGAGACGGGGTTTCACCATGTTGGCCAAGCTGGTCTCGAACTCCTGACCTTAAGTGATCCACCCACCTTGGCCTCCCGAAGTGCTGGGATTACAGGCACTGGACCATCACGCCCGGCCAACTAGAACTGTAATTTTCAAAATACAGCTGGAGGGGAGGAGAGAAGACCCTCAGGAAGCTGTAGATGAGTCTGCCCAAGTCAGCAGATCTACCTTTTCAAAAGACCTGGAATCAAACCACTACATTTACCCAAATTATGAGGCAAAAGTTTTCTCCCCTCTCTGTGCCACCACTTGAGGCAGTATTCCACACAAGAGTACACATTTTTCACTTTTTGTTTTTAAGCAAGGTTTAATTACACTGCACGGCATCCAGAAGAAAGAAATGTACCAAAGAATCCAACCTGAGACCAGATTATACATTTTAGAGGGGGGAAACAAATCAATGCTATTTGGGAGAGGGAGCACTGTAATCAGAATACAACTCCAAAATAAATCATACAATAAATTATTTTCCAAAAGAAATTGATCCACATAGACAGATGCACGCACACACACACACATACACGCACGCACGCACACATGTCATTCTAGTCATTTATTCAGTGTTGACTGTGACTTCCATGCAGGGCACCATGAGAAAGGACAAAGATTAGACATGAGAAAAGAAGGCTAGGCCCCCTCTTGCCACCAGTGGAATGAGATTTAAGACAACTAGAGAAGGAACCCACTAAGTTGCCAGAAACAAGAGTAGAAAGAAACAGCAGTTATCAAGGAAGATTTTAATTGCTTCAAAGAGGGAGAGGAAGAAAGCACAGAAATCTAACACAAGTAAAGGCACAATGAATGTGGAGTTGAATGGAACCAAACCCTCCCTTCAGTTAATCTTTTTTTTTTTTTAATGTGGTTTTGATGGTGGTTGTAGTTTTGTTTTGTTTTGAAGAGATGAGCCTTCAAGGCAGAGTTGTAATGGCCCTCCTCTCTCCCCTCCCATTCCCAAAATTAGGATAGCTTAACAGAAAGCCACCTTAACCACATGGCCAGGGACTGAGATTCAATGGGGAAAAAAAGACTGTAGCTGGAATGTAAAGAATTTGATTTGCAGTTGATTGCAGGATGGGTTTCCAGAAGGATAGACAGCTCAGTGTAGTGCCATCATAGGGCCTCAGATGCCCACACTCCACCCCCAGAGCTTCATAAAAGGGAAGGACCCTGGAGTCGCCCTTCTCTCCCACCCCCATAAACACTCAGCCTACAGATTATTTCAAGTGATCAGGAGAATTAAAACACACCCCAACCCTGAGTTGCTCTGTAGCAAGTCTATTTAAACTTTTTTTCTCACCTCTCCCTGGAGGTAAATCTGGGTTTCAAGTTGGGAAGCCATGGGGTGAGGCAGTTCCCCAGTGCAATGGCCGGTGACGAGTATCCTTGCCGCTGCCAGTTAGCAGGGCTGGGATGAGCTCCTGGAGACAGCAGCCTCACATCCATCAGCTAGGGTAGCCCTAGGTTCTCACTCTGTTGACCTAGGCTGTGAAAATGATGGGGCTCTGCAGCTGAAGCAAATCCCCATGACACAGAAAATCACACCTGGAATATCAAAGTGCTTTGGTCCAGGTTCAGTGACCAGAGAAGGGGAAGAGGGACATCTAGCTCATTTAAAAACCTGGAGGCCACCGCCCTGCTTCCCACACAGGGCAGTAAGAAACAACTATAAAGTTTTTCCCATTAGGGAAGAACATCACAAAACCAAACCCATACAAGGGCTCTTAACACAGCTTCCTGGTGCTTAGCTGGGAAATGTCTCTTCCTTCTGCGGGGGGACAAGGGAGTTAATGGGACTGGGCAACAGCCTCAACATGAGACCACCCAATCTTCCATGGAAGAGACGACATTCCCACAAGCAGATAAAAAGAGCAGTGTAAAGGGTGAGTTTTAGTGCTCTTGTAGCCAGCCCACCTTAAACCCCATATTAGAAGCTTTTTACAACATAGAAAATAGACCGATAACTATGCAGATCACATTCCCATCTTCAATAGTAAATATACATAGTAATAAATCCATTATTAACAGCGGGACCAAATAATGTATAAGGCAAAGACTTTGAAACAGGTGTTGTATCATCAACATGCTCTGAAAAAAACCCATCTGACTAGATCTAGACCCAGGCCTTTTTGCATGAGGCGGAGACAACAAGTACACAATCAATATCCATGTGACACAGTCCAAGTGCTGAGGAATTTGAGGGGCAGCGGGCCACGGGGAGGAAGGTATCAGCCCCAGTGAAAAGCGGGGGTTTGGCTTTACTCGTGATATTTTGATGCTCTGTGTGAGTAAAGGAGGGAAAAAAAAAGACACTTTGATAACGTACAAAAGGCATCGACTCCCATTTCAAAAATAAATGGGAAGACTTCACAGTCAAAGTTCAGTCACTTGTCAGTATCTGCCCTGGAACTCTGCTGCAGTATGAATTCTTATACTCTCTCCTTTTCCCTCCACTAGCATCCCCTCTCTCAGTTCTGTTTTTTTGTTTGTTTGTTTTTTGAGACGGAGTTTCACTCTGTCACCCAGGCTGGAGCGCAGTGGCGCCATCTCCACTCACTGCAACCTCCGCCTCCTGGGTTCAAGCGATTCTCATGCCTCAGCCTCCCCAGTAGCTGGGACTACAGGCACGTGCCATCATGCCCAGCTAATTTTTGTATTTTTAGTAGAGACGGGGTTTCGCCATGTTGGACAGGCTGGTCTCGAACTTCTGACCTCAGGTGATCCACCCGTCTTGGCCTCCCAGATTGCTGAGATTACAGGCATAAGCCACCAGGTCCGGCAGTTCTGTTTACTTCAGGATGCTAGGGATACTTCTGGGAGATAACTGCTAACAGATTAGAAAGAGGAATGATATATAAAAAATTATTGGGAAAAGTTTGGTGACAGACCTAATCATGGTCTGTCCCAGAGTTAATGTAGTCTAGGGGATGGCAAAGGACAGCAGACCCCATACACATTACCCCTGCTGAGCCCTCCCCTCACCTAGCACTGGGGAGACTTGGGTTTCACCTGGCACCATGCACAGATCTCTAGCCTGTGATCCAATCAACTGGAAAGGTCCCTAAGACAGTTTAAGCCTGTGATGTGTGTGATTACATTTTTAAGCTAATTTTCCCCATCCATTTCAAAGAGTAGCCACGGTCTCCTTGCTCTCATGCCACGCTCTGAACAGCCTCTACACGTAGCAACAGTTGTAGAAAACCAAAGCATCTGGTGTGTCGAGCCCAGAAGCCCCATCCTGCTGTTGGAAAAAAAGAAGTCCTCATCCAATCAGCCAACGACAGTTCCTACCTAGACTGGGGACCTCCATTTTTCTCTGTGCTCTTTAGGATCTGGAAGACAAAGAAACAACCTATGGCTGGCTGCCACGGAAGATCTACTGAACTGAGGCAAAACTCAACAAAGTCTTTGTGCTTCCTGGCATAGAGGAGTATTTGAATATCCTCATAAGCCTCTGCTCACTTCTTCACCCTTCTGTACTCTGCTGTGTTAAATAGTGCAGTCCTGGGAAGGCAAGGGTGGTAGAGAAAGGAACAGGAAGAGTCTGCTCAGTCAGGTGGGCTGTGAACTTCAGTACACGCAGCGCCACAAAGCCAGCTCCTTCCATGAGGGGCTTCAACCTGCCCTTCTTTGTTATCCTGGAGCACCTTCCAGGGGCTGAAGGACAGAAAGAGCCACTGACAACTTCAGGGCCAGTCAGAAGAGACTGAGGCAGACTCAAGATTGAGGTTAAGGCCTAGGCCCATGCCCTATCTTCCTCTCTCCCACCAGAGGTTTTTGGGGTTTGTGAATCAGGAATGAATGATGCCCGCCACAAAAAGTGATATTTCCTTCGAGGGCATGGGTGGTAAGGGGGAGGAAAAACATCCCTCAGCCTAGCACCGTGAAGCAGTGGGGTGAGGGGTCCCGGAGGGTTCAAATGGCTCCTGGTCCCTTTGCTGCAGAGAACTGACTAGTTCTAAAATGGTCCTCAGTTTATTTCACCCTCTCTTTTTATTAAACGTTAAGTTCAACTGATTAGTATTTAGTGTTTATATCCAATTTATCCCTGGGGTGGTGGGGGCGGGCAGCAGGTAAGAACAAAAACAAAATACCCCTAAAATAAAGCAGACCCAATTCCTTGCCCTTTCTCCAAATATGACCTTTAAAACAGATCACCTCTTGGCAGACTCCTTTCTTGCTTCACTAAAAATGCTCCCCTCCCACCCATAAGTCCTGGTCATGTCAGCCTCCTATATGATGAAATATAATACACCTGCCAAGCTTCCCCTACCGTGGACAGGAGAAGGAAGGAGTACCATTCCCCACCCTGCCCCAACAGTGAGTTAATTCATCACAACAAGGCACCTTTCCCCAAGAGGAAGGCAAGAGACCCGGAAACTTGTTCCTCATGTGGCTAGCAGGGCTTGCTGGAGGAAGGATGGATGCAGGGTTTGAGATCCTACTGTCAATATAAAGAGTCTGATCACCAAATCCAGAGACGAGATGCATAGATGGAGGTGAGCTGGGAGGACACTTGGAGTCTAGGGGTTGGTTGCATTGGAGAAACATGTTAGGAGCTCTCATGCGGGTTTCAGGGGAATGGAAGGGACCATCTGAGAAGAAGAGAAGGTCCATCCTTTTCCTGAGGAACAGGACCAAGCCAGGCTTCACCTGAGAATGGGTGGCAGAGGTGGGGCTCCACGGGCAGCTGAAAAAAAAACAAAATAAAAACCACACACATACAGGTCACCCACCAGAATCGGAACAACCCACACATTTCTAAAATGAGAGACAGGTTCTTTAAGCTAATCTTTAAAATCTGGGGACTAAGTTTTATTGTTGTTTTGCTTAAGAAAATGAAGATGAGAGGCCAGGTACAGTGGCTCACTCCTGTAATACCAGCACTTTGGGAGGCCGAGGCAGGTGGATCACCTGAGGTCAGGAGTTTGAGACCAGCCTGGCCAACAAGGCAAAACCCAGTCTCTACTAAAATTACAAAAATAATCCAGGCATGGTGGCACATGCCTATAATCCTAGCTACTTGGGAGGCTTAGGTAGGAGAATCACTTGAACCTGGGAGGCAGAGGTTGGGTTGAGCCAAGAACTGTACTCCAGCCTGGGCGATGAGAGGGAGACTCCATCTCAAAAAAAAAAAGTCAATGAAGATGACAAGAAGCAATTTTTTTTTTTTTTTTTTTTTTTGAGACGGAGTCTCCCTCTGTCGCCCAGGCTAGAGTACAGTAGCGTGATCTTGGCTCACTGCAACCTCTGCCTCCTGGGTTTAAACAGTTTTCCTGCCTTGGCCTCCTGAGTAGCTGAGACTACAGGCACCTGCCACCACACCTGGCTAATTTTTTTATCTTTAGTAGAGATGGGGTTTCACTGTGTTAGCCAGGATGGTCTTGATCTCCTGACCTCATGATCCGCCTGCCTCAGCCTCCCAAAGTGCTGGGATTACAGGCGTGAGCCACCGCGCCCAGACTAATTTTGTATTTTTAGTAGAGACAGGATTTCACTATGTTGGTCAGGCTGGTCTCGAATTCCTGATCTTGTGATCCGTCCACCTCGGCCTCCCAAAGTGCTGGGATTATAGGTGTGAGCCACTGCGTCCAGCGAGAAGCAAATTGTAACTTAAGAAAACACACAAATTCTACATTTTATGCAATTATGGAAAAACTTTTTTATTATTCTCACCTCGGTTTGTTTTGCTGGGATATATCCTCTGAAAGTGTTTATATTCTTCTGGAGCAGGAAAGTCTTCTACTGGATGGAAGGAATACTTTGACTCAAAATCATCTGCAAAAAGAACAGAATATTAATTCCTATCATCCTTGCTTGTGCTCCCAAGGCCTCTGACCACTTCAACCCTCCCCACTTACTAATCTCTCAGGCACTCTGAGGTACCGTGAGGACCTACTGCACCACCAAACTAACAACCCTGAGAACAGCAGCAGCATCACCCCATGCGCCTTGCATGCACAGAGCATGTATTCGAAACCTCTCTGTACTAAGTAGTGCATCTTTGAGCTCATTTTATATGTATATATTTTTTTTTAACACTCTCACTCTGTCACCCAGACTGGAGTGCAGTGGTGCCCACCACCTCGCCCAGCTAGTTTTTTGTATTTTTAGTAGAGACGGGGTTTCGCCATATTGCCCAGGCTAGTCTCGAACTCCTGAGCTCAATCTGCCCACCTGACCTCCCAAAGTGCTGGGATTACAGGTGTGAGCCACCATGCCTAGCCTGAGCCGATTCTTTAAACCTTTCCATCAAGTCAGACACAGAACAGGACAGGAGCCCAGTTGTTTGCATGGTAGCAGGAAGAAATATAATTCTGTCTGAATAAGCAGAAAGAAATTTTTTTTTTGAGATGGAGTCTCACTCTGTTGCCCAGGCTGGGGTGCGGTGGCGTGATCTTGGCTCACTGCAACCTCCGCCTCCCAGGTTCAAGCAATTCTCCTGCTCAGCATCCCTGGGATTACAGGCGTGCACCACCACACCTGGCTAATTTTTGTAATTTTAGTAGAGACAGGGTTTCACCATATTGGCCAGGCTAGCCTTGAACTCCTGACCCCAGGTGATCCACCTTCCTCGGCCTCCCAAAGTGCTGGGATTACAGGTGTGAGCCACCAGGCCCAGCCGATTCTGTGTTTTAATAACATCTTAGGGACTGTCGCCATGGCAAAACAACTGATCTAAATCCAGAAATCAGTAGAAATTAATTTAAAATGGGAATATTTGTCTATGGCTAGTGAGAGATATGAGCAGATAATTCCCTTTCAGCCCATGTTACCTTCACTTACATAGTTGGGACAGCCAACATGGCTTCTACTCCTATTTTCTACAGCCCCTCGATAAGAAGGCTCAAATTTTCTGTAAGTGTGGCTTGATCACATCCCAAAGGTTTCTACAATAAGGATGTATCTTTAAAAGCAAAAACCCTGGCATGCCTAATAGGAATAGAACAGAACATGGAGGACAGGGGGTAAAGACAGCAACCATTAAAGAATCTAGAAGCTGGGCATGGTGGCTCATGCCTGTAATCCCAGCACTTTGGGAGGCCGAGGTGGGCAGGTAGCTTGAGCCCAGGAGTTCGAGACCACTCTGGGCAACATGGCAAAACCTCATCCCTACAAAAAAAATACAAAATTAGCCAAGCATGGTGATGCACGCCTCTGGTCCTAGCTACTTGGAAGGCTGAGAGATGGGAGGATTGCTTGAGCTTGGGAGGTCGAGGCTGCGATGAGCCGTGATTGTGCTACCGCACTCCAGCCTGGATGACAAAGCAAGACGCTATCTCAAAGAAAAAGAAAAAAAAAAAAAGAATCTAGAGTGTTAGGCCTGCAAGGGACCTTACAGAGATTTTTTCCAGGGGTCCTCAACAGAGGGGTCTAACAATAGCCTCTGGACAACCTTTACTTAGGGTTACATCCCAGAACCAAGGAATTGGAATCTCTTAGGTAGAGCCCCCCAACATTTATAATCTTGGAAAAGTTAATCTTGATACACTTCTCATCTAGTCAACCTAATTTTACAAAATAAGGGAAGTGAGGCCCCAAGGAGTAACGTGACTTCCTCAAAATAACACTGCTAGTTAGTGGCTTTGGATTAATGTGTATGTTTTGGGTTTCGTTTTTTTTTTTTTTTTTTTTTTTTT